ATTAGTGCTGGGTATGGAGCCAGTCTTGGCTTCCAGATGTGGGGGCTGGGGCCAATCTTCTGCCAGCAGCTTTCTGGAGGTTCCTTGGCAGCCTGCTCACATCTCCTTATCCTGTTGGTCTCTGTGTGGCTCTCCCAGTTTCTGTGGCACCCTCAGCCAGAGACAGTCTGAGGCTGTTCCCCATGCCTTGTATAGCTGGCCCCTCCTGGACCTTGTGTAGTCTTTTCTGTTCAATTTCATTGGCTCCTTTCATTCCACTTTACAGGGTGAGAAAGTACTGTCTTCCCACTCTTTGCCCCACAGGTGGCCAAAGGCCACTTGACTCCCACTTGCATGGTCTCCATCCTTCTCTTTGGCTGCTGGTCACAGGGCTGGAGGTGTGTACTCCTCCACTTACTATCCACAGCAGTCTCTCACCTTGTCTCTGGAGGTTCCAGTTAGCTGTTACAGCACAAAACAAACAAACAAACAAAAACTAGCAGCCCATCAGAGAGGAAGCAGCTTCCTGGTCACTCACCCTGTGTGTGTCAGTGGAATTTATTACCAGTCTGCAGCATCTTATGTTTGCATGGAAGGCATAGGGGTGAGTGTCCTTACACCCCCCAATCTATCCTGTGTGGGTTGAGTTTGCCACACTTTTGCAGTTTCTTTTGGAAACATCCCAGAATGGTGATTATATTAACTCTGCCTATTCAGGGACAGGGGATGTATTTTCTCTCTCTCTCTCTCTCTCTCTCTCTCTCTCTCTCTCTCTCTCTCTCTCTCTCTCTCTCTTCCCTTATGATACTGGGAATCAAATTCAGGACCTTGCACTTGTGAGGCAGGTGCAGTGCCACTGAGTTAAATCCCTGGCCCTATATTTTCATTTTCTAACATCTTCAACTTATTTTTTCATAGTTTGTAGTTTTCATTATAGACATTTTTCACTTTCTTGGGTAGATTGATTCTTAGGTTATTGGTTTTTTTTGAAGCTGTCATGAAGGAACTGTGTTCTGGTTTATTCTTTCCCTTGGGCTCTTGGATGTTGTCTTGCTTGTCTCTGTTTAGGATGACCTTAAATGTTTTCTGCAATGCCAGTTTGCTGGTCATCAATTTCTTTATCTTTATCATGAAAGGTCTTTATTTCTCCATCAGTGATAATTTTGTAGGATGCAGGAACATGAATTGGCAATTATTTTCTTTTAGGGCTGAAAAGTCTTCAATCCCTCCTGGGCTTTAAGTTTTGCATTGAGTAGTCTGCTGTTACTCTTATGGGTTTGCTGTGCTAGGCCATTTGGTGCTTTTCTTTAACTGCTCTTAGTATTCTGTCCTCTCTGGGTTTCTGGGATTTTGATTATGATGTGTCACAGAAAGGTGTTTTTATTATTATTATTTTGTTCATATACATGTAGAGTTCCAAATACCTCTTCTATCTGGGTCCACAACCCGTTCCTTGCCCTTGGAATTTTCTGCTATAATTTCAGTGAGCAATATTTTAATATCATTAGTGTGTATGTAAACCCCTCCCTCAGGTCCAGGGATCCTTCAGTTTATTCTTTTAGAGTTGTCTGGGACCTCTTGGATTATATCTTGATGGTCTCATATTGTATTATGGTTATCACTGAATAAATGTTCTCATATATCAGCCTTGTCCTCAAGTCCTGGTTTTCTAACTGATCTTGTCTACTGTCAAGTTTCAGCATTTCTTTTGATTCATTTTCATATTTTTTAGTTCTTTACTAAAGTGGTCTTTTGTACCCTATATTGTCTTTTGTCTCCTCAATTTATCCATCTGTTTATTCTTTTAGCTTATTGATCATCTTAACAATTGATTCATTCAGCTCCTTATTTGTCTCCTCTTTTATATCTTTAATTCATTCATCTATTCCATTTTTAAATTTTTTTTGTATGGAAATCCACCCATCCCAGTGCCCATGAGATTAGCCTGTGGGAAGTTGGGAATTTGGAGGGCATCTTCTTGCCTGCTTTCTTATGATTCTTGTGTTCCAAGTTATTAGATCAGTTGGGAAAGAAAGCTCTGCCAAGCTAGTGAAGATCTCTTTACTGAGTGGATTTCTCCATATGATGTTTCCTTGGCTTTGGTATGATTCAGTGTATGGACATTTACTTAAAATTTTCAAAGTGCTAGGATCAGTCCCTACTACCACATTGCGAAAAGAGAACAACTACTATTAATATCAATATCCAAATTACCTATCATACATCAAAACATAATTTGAAATCTTTAAAAAATGTTCTTAGCTCTTCAATAACCAAGGAAGATGAAGAAATAATAATGATGAATAATAGGCTCAGGGATAGGACAAGAAAAAAATAAAATACGGTTTGATCATATTCTTTTTATGCTTTGAAAAAGGGAGGAACGATTTGAAAAATTATATGTGGGGGAGGAGAGACAGAAGAAAAGAGAAGGGAATAAGTGTGGAATTATGAGAGACTTCACAGACATTGTCTCCATTTGAGAACCTAGCAGAAACCCAAGGCAGCAGACTGAAGAAGCAACCCTGAGAAGAGGAGAACCTGTCATACTGATGTAAGACACTACAGAAACTTGATGCTATGGTGAGACACTATAGAGGGAAAAGTAAGACTAACACTTGTAAGCTCTTAGAATCACATCTGTACCTCCTAGTTCTTTCCAAAAGAAACACCAAGAAAACAAAAGCAATAACAAAAACCAAGAATTAGAAACCAGTTCAACATCCCTGCAAATGATGATGCTTGCATTGGAGTCTAAAGTAGACCAGATTACTCTTCTGCCTCAGGTCAAACAGGAGAGACGGGAGCCATGTGTGTTGGCTGTAATCCCAGCATTTGGGAAGCTGAGGCAGGAGGTTTGAGTTTGAGGCCAGCCTGGGCTACATAGTGAGACCCTTTTCAGAAAAACAAAGCAGAACAAAACAAAGCAGACCATGTAGAGTTCAGAGGAGCTGAGCTCCACTCCTGTGCGCTTGTGGCCAAGAACCTGGTCAGGTTGGCCAGTGGTCAGATTTCCTGTTAACTGACTTACACTCTTCAGTGCCTGGGAGTGACTGGGATGGAGGACCCAGACAGTCCACCAAATCTGCCACTCGTGCTGCCCACAGGCAGGTCTGGAGGGCACAGTGACACCACAACACCTGGGTAGTTCATGCTCTGGGAGGTGTGGTTGCCAGTGACTTCCGCTGTCTTCACTCCAGCGCTCCAGACAGATCAGAAGGGACTGTGTGAGGGGTCCTTGATGCCAGCTTTGCACTGGCCCCATGGGTACAGATCCCTTCCCACTTCTGTGACTGCATTCATGGTCTGCTGATGTACTCAGACTGCCATGGTTCAGATGTCAGTGTCCTGCAAACTGGGGATGGGGTCTCTCTCCCATGTCACTGTCATTTTCTGTTCCAAGCCCATGCTGATCATCAGGGATGGTAGTCAATTCCTTCTCCCTGTTACACAGTGATCATTACAATTTAGGGCTATAGAAATGTGGGGATATTCCATCTAAGCAGAGCAAGATGATCTTGGCCCATTCTGCTTGGGTTAGTTTCCTTCTTGCTCTGCCAAGGCAGGGACATGGTGGGTGCTTCTGAGATGGCTTTCTGCTCTGACCTTGTCTAGGTCTGGAGGACCAGACAAGAAATTGTCACTCTGTCCTTGTTCAATTGTCTGCAGTCAGATCTCCAGTCTACAAGAGCTGATTCCCCACCCCAGGGAGGATCCAGTGGTCACCGGGCACTGCTGTTTCCTTCTTCTACCACTGCACTTCGGCGAAGACCTCTTCACCCCCAAGCTGCCAGGCATTCAGGGCCAGACTGTATTGCTCCTGTTACTTGCCTTTCCAGTTACCGTATTTCTGGGTTTCCCCTAGCTGCTCACTCCTTCAAGCCATACTCCTGTGGCTCCTGGGGCACCCCTGTCTGCCCACAGAGCCTTGCTTGTGGATCAGTATCCTAGAGAGACTCCGAGCCCACAGTGTTTCTCAGCTCTTGACCGATTATTTTAAATACAGTATGAGACAAAAGAGGGCCTTATTGTGACTCAGTGCTAAAGCACTTGCCTGACTCATGCACCCTGGGCTGGGTCCTCAGCACCTTTCCTGCACTTTGGGCAACTTCCCTGTTGATCTGTCAGCACCCACAGGGTCACAGAGCCACAGAGGCAGCAGCAGAGGTGCCTGCACCCCGGGAGCAGAGCAGTGGTGTCTGGTTATGGATTCCAGAGTGTTGCGCTCCAGAGACAAAGGCTCCATATAAATTTTAAATTGTAGAAATAAAATTATTCTAGGAAATTCTGATTATGAAGTTCAAATATGTCAACAATAATGAGGAAATTGAAATGTGATCTTTAAAATGGAGTTTTATTTTTAGAACATCATATTTTAATATTGCTTGTTGTGCTTACAGACATAAGGCAGAGGTGGTGAACCCCTGGTACGCTCGCCACAGCTGGCCGTTTGTTACCATTAAAAGCACTAGAAGGTTCACCATCCCCGACATGGGGAAGTACAGCTTGTGGTAAGCCTCAGAAACCACACTGAGTATGATTATGAAATTGTAAGTTACTCTCACATTATCTTGATAAATACAGATATGAATGTACAATGAAAAATGAAGAATGGGGAAATCTAATAGAAAAAGACAAAGTAATTTCCACCTATTTTCTTAAGGAGTTACCTGAATTCACCTCTATGGTTTCTATTTACATATGGCCACTTATTTTTTTTTTTTAATTTAGAAGGAGAAAAAAAATACAACTTCATAAATTATTTGCAGCAAATTATAAAATTAATATATCTATATAAATTGGAGCTTGGAGAAGGGAAGGGTTATATAGCGAGATTCAATGGAACAAGTGATCTCTGATCTCCTGGACAGGGAGATAGAGTGAGAGTCATTAAGAGTGAATAGGATGAAGGGACGCAATGGGAGATTTTTAAATTAGAAATTTCAATCAAGGTGTTAGTTCTGGGAAGAAAATCAGTCTTGACATTTTGACTCAGTGTGTTAAAGCTGAAAAGGGGGATGGAAAGCATTTACCTCTGCACCAATAATATTGTCAAAATCTACACATTCCTTAGCAAGTAATGTTTATTAAGGCTGCACTCACATGAAGTCATTGCCAATGCCAGTCTACATGAGTCCTGACGCCTGCCCGCGCCTCCTCAAGTTGTATAACCAGACATGGCTAGGGTTTGACTTGATTATGGACGCTCTGAAAGCTGCAGATAGAACATTTCTGAGCCCCGTGCTGCGGAATCGGGCACTTTTTGCAGTCGCGGCCCCTCCCCGTGCATTTCCTCAGGGCCCCTACCACTTCTTTGTTCCTCAGGCTGTAGATGAGCGGGTTGAGCATGGGGGTCACTATGGTGCCGAGCACGGCTCCCACCTGGTCTTGCTCGGGAGTGTGGGCAGAGGTGGGTGTCATATAGATGAAGATGGCTTGGCCAAAGTAGAGGCTCACTACAGTCAGGTGGGAGGAGCAGGTGGCCAGGGCTTTGTTCCTCCCCTTGCGAGAGCTCATCCTCAGGACGGTGAGGAATATGAGCGCGTAGGAGGCCAGGATGAGACTAAATGGGACCAGGAGAAACACAACGGTGGACACAAATTTCACCATCTCATACACTGAGGTGTCCGCACAAGACATTCTCAGAATGGCAGGCATCTCGCAGAAGTAGTGATTGATCTCCCTGGAGCCGCAGATGGGGAAATGCATCGGGTAGACGGTGTGGACTAGGGCTGCCAGGGCGGCTCCAGTCCACACTGCGGCAGCCATCTGCAGACAGACCTGGGGCCTCATGAGGACGGCGTACCTCAGAGGGTTACAGACAGCCACGTAACGGTCATAGGCCATGAGGGTCAGCAGGATGCACTCCGCCAGGCCGAGGGTGAGGAAGGAAAACATTTGAGCAGCACAGGCAAAGTAGGAAATGCTCCTGCTCCCTTGGAAGTAGTTGGCCGCTGTCTTGGGCACTGTGCTGGAGATGTAAGCCAGGTCAATGACAGAGAGCTGGCTGAGCAGGAAGTACATGGGCGTGTGCAGGCGGGGGTCCAGCCAGATGAGCACGAGCAGGACAGAATTCCCAGCGAAGGCAGTGGTGTAGATGAGTAGAATGACGAGAATCAGCAGCTTAGGGTGCCTGAACCCCGGAAAGAGCCCCAGAAGAATGAAGTCGGTGGAGGTTCCATTCCAGTCCATGTCTTCGCTCAAATTTCCTTACTGGAACTGAAAAATCTATAAGGGCAGAATAAAATCACGGAGAATTTAGTAACTCTCTAAAAAAGTTTTTGTTTCTTGGTCAGTACCTCTTCTCCATTCACTATCGCCAGAACTTTACATGAAAGAAAAAATTTTAAAGTTCCAACAAGTGAAACCACTTTTCCTAGAAACTAAATCATATCTCACCATTATTCTGATATGGATGGATGATATTTGATCCCTTTGACTGATGATCTCTAATTCACTCTGTTCCTCCTATTTTTGAATTTCTAACATACTGAGGCCCTTGGCATCCTCGAGTCCTGCATATCCCTTTACTGCACATTCCTGTCTGCACCCCATCTGTACCCCGGCAGCCCTCCCGAGCTTCCCTTGGGGCCCTTCTCAGGTATGCTCAAAAATGTTTCATTATTAGCCAAATGAAGTAAGCTGTTTGTTTTGTTTTCCTAAGATCCACAATTCTGTTGTACTCAATTTCTTCATTTTGGTCTTAGTGTGAATAATTACAGACTTTATCTTTTCCCTTGAATTATCTCTGTAAGCAACACCCTAAGAGAGAGTGGTCCTGTCTCTTGGTGTGTACATTTTCAGTCATTGTTCGTTGCTCATAGAATAAAGTAAAAAATTCTTAAAATATTTTAAGGTGTGGTATAGTCTTGTAAATTATTTTTAAGATCCCATGTGTGTAGAAGTATTGTCCCAGGTCCATTATTTAACACCTTATTCTTTACGCTCAGGACAAATGGCGACTTAGATCCTCATCTATCTGACAACAAATGTCTTATAAATATTCAACCTGAAATCAATAAGTTGATTTCCTTTGTATATTTTACAATTGATATTTAATATCTTTTCCAGCAAAAACCCCTGGAGCTTGTTCCTTATTATTAATTGTATACCTTAGAAACTTTACTATGTCCAATCTTATACTCTTATGCCTTTCTTTGAGATGGTGACAATAAAACAGTGTCCAGTGTCTGATGGTCAGTGGAAAGCGAGCAGAGTTCTCAGTGTCAGTTTCAGGCGAGAGTCATGATGAGCTTTGGGCAGCACTTGGTGCCTGGAAAATTTTGCTTCCTTAAGGTACCATTGACCCTGCGGGCCTCTGGGGTCCTGGGCTGCTTTCCTGATGTTCCCTCCACCACAGCAGTTACCTGTCTTCCTGCCTTTGCATTGTAAATTCTTCCCCTCAAAG